ATTTGGTTTATGTCATGTCGGGTATCATTTTAATTGCAAAAAATGATTAATCCATTAAAATTATTTTTAAGCAGGTAAAATGCAAAACATAAAAGTTTTATTTTCTATGGTAATGTGACACATATATGTATACTCGTAAAATACTATATAATAAAAGAATAAACCCCTCGCATGTAAGAGATTTTGAAACTCTTTGACGATACGTCATTTCGCTTGCTCTTTACTTGTTCTCGCTTTCGCTTTCGATCATCGGAGACTTTTACCTATCTATAATAATTTATTTATAATATTCAAAATTCATATGTAATAAAAACTAAAACATTTGTTTTATTTTAGAAAGTAATTTTTTGAAAATAATTTTAATGGATTAATGAGATTTTTAATTAAAATGACATCAAAAACATAATATAATTCGGATAATTTTTACTTTAAGGAAAAAAATATTTTATCGAATTTTTAAATTGATATCTAATTGGAATTTATCCGAATAATGTCGCGTTTTTTTTATGTCATTCCATTTCCAAAAATCTTATTAATCAAGTAAAATTATGTTTAAAAATATAAGAAATATAAAAATTTTATAAAAGTTTTTATATATTCAATAAATGCACTCCGTTAGACACTATTTCTGCTCCGAAGCGTTTGATGGACAAATAAAAACGAAGAATCTTGTTCTTCGAGCGAAAATAGTGTTAAGCAAAGTGTATCTATTATTGTTTATTTTCAAAAGACTTGTTTAGTATTAATTATCTTATCGTTTTATATTTATATATAATAGCTTTTAATGTGCATCAGTGCGCACTAGTGCATCCAACTAAATTTATAAATTAAAAAATTACTTATGATTAATAACGATATAATATGGATAATTTTTACTTAGATAAAGAAAAGAATATTTTATCTAATTTTTAAATTTATATCTAATTGAAATTTATCCGAATAATGTCGCGTTTTTTTATATCATTTCATTTGCAAAAATCTTATTAATCAAGTAAAATTACGTTTAAAAATATAAGAAACATAAAAATTTTGTTAAAGTTTTTATATATTCAATAAATACATTCCGTTAGATATTTCTGTTCCGAAGCGTTTGGTCGTCAAATGAGATCGAAGAATCTTGTTCTTCAAGCGAAAATAGGTAGGCAAAGCGTATCTATTGTTATGTTTATTTTCAAAAGGCTTGTATAGTATTAATTACAGTATTAGTTTCAAGAGTAAGAAAAAAGTAAAAGCAATTTATTATAAATATCTTGTATATGTTAGATATTTCAAAATTAGGAAAAAAGTTATTAAGAAAATTTATTTAAGAAAATTTATTTTATGTCATATGCGTATATACATAAAAATACTTCAATAATAACTTATTATCGCTGTAATATATACTAGAATGGTAAAACATCACGCATAGCTAATAAAATATTAATAAATCCATAATATTTTTCCGGAATTTTGATCCACAATTATGGATCTAGCACACATATGCACCAACCGGTTGTTTTACCATAGCACCGAAAAGTGAATCTGGCCATGTAATTCCGCCAGCTCTAAAATGGATCTAGTTGACGCTACTGTACTAGCTAGAAAAAGTGTATTATGAAAAACGGTGGCGTGACTCCTCTCAGGCTTCTCTCTGCCTATATGTGAGAAAATAAGGTGTACTATTCCCGATGCGCAGTGATTTAAAATAATGGCTGACCAATTAGAGATTTGCCCAAAATCATGAAAAGCAATATGGTATTATGGCATAATTTTGAAATTGACATTTGTTTATAGATCTTATGTAAAACACATAAATATTATATATAGATTATAAAGACTTTATTTTATTGTCTCTATAATTATTCTGTATAATATTAAAAATTATATTTTTTTCTTGTAACTTCCATGTTTTATTCTCTTATTAATATCAAAAATAGATGATACATTTTGCTGTTTAAGCGTGTAATTTTTATTGTATTCTATTTAAAAAAATGGATATGTGTTTCTTTTTTATTTCAGAATGTAGTGGATTCCTTTAATAGTCGAAATTCCGGTTTGAGAATCTTGCTGCTCTCTCTTATTGCTGGTGGAGTAGAATTGAACTTGATAGGCGGCAATCATTTATTATTATTTGACATTCATTGAAATCCATAAGTAGAAACACAGGCGCAAGACAGGACTTATCGTTTTGGTCAAACAAAAAACATCTACACCTACAAGTTAGTATATTGCATTTAATTTCTATCCTCATGTGCGTCTTGTTTTAATAATAAGTATTTTTTCTTTCAGATTTATTTGCGTTGAGGAACAATAGAGGAATATATGAAAGCTTTGCAAGAACGAAAGTTCGAGATAACTAAAGTACGTGTAATGTGAGTGGCAACAAAAATAACACTGTTATGAAATTCATTCTTAATGATCTTATAAGATCTTAACTGTTCGGTTTTTAATTTATTCTATTTTGTGATAGAAGCGTGTGCGATCATGACACAGAGTGTTGTGTGTTTGCTCTCTGTGCCGAAAGGTTCGGCTTCAAATCCAGCCAGAAACGAATATATTCGATCGCCACCTCTCGAAATGAGAGCAATGACAAACCACTGACAAATGAGAGTTGTGGATTCCAATGAAATATAAAATAACAATAAGTGATTAGCTCCTATTAAGATTAAGTCTGTAAAGTCAGTGGAAAGAAAAAGCAAGATTCTCCTACTGTATTTTTTCTTTTTAGTTAAAAGTTAATTATTAAAAGAAATTATTTATATATTTAATCCAAATACGATAATTTTTTGAATTATTATCTTTTTGATTGCTAATACAATGTATGTTTCTTTATGTTGAATAGAACATTATTTGGCATTAACAATAGTATTTTTTGCATTATGTATATATATGATATTCTATATTCTATATAAATTTTATAATTCTAAAGTTAATATATATATAGAATTATTATTAATGTATGCATATGTATACATTAAATTGAAATTATTAAATTAAATTTGATAATATAAAATAATTTCTCTTTCTATACATTTCTTTATATAGTAATTACTAAGTAGCTAATATCGACGACGTAATATAGACAATTGATTGAAAACTTGGCGGAAAATTTACTCTTTTCCGTACTTTAATAAGATTGTCTGCATTTCGCATTTGTCAAAACATATGTAATGCTCAAACTTTAATAATATTTTGCATAAGCACTATCTCTCTGGTGGAACATATTTCATAGTATTGACTGTGAGGAAGATATTAAAACAAATCAACGTTTTAGTGATTATATTTCTTTCTGTATTTGTGTTTATCAACGCGAGTAAATTAAATTACATGTTTTATAATACATATATAAGAACGTCCAATGTGTTGCTCAATTACAATCTTTTCAATCTACGTTATATTTTAGATTTTCATACATATTAGTACAATGTGCAACTACAACATATCTGAAGTATTTTCTGCCAATTATAGTTCTTTTTAAATAGATTTGGAGATATACATCTTTGCCTTATTTAACATTTGATAAATAATCTGCACACTTGTTGTAATTTGTAAATTCTTATACTTTTATATAATTAACCAGTTAACTAGTAAGCCCTTGAACCATTTTCCGTGCCAAAACTGGTAAGATTGGCTTCAAAAATCAATCGTGTTTGAGGTACAATTATTTTTGCTGATTTCGAATCCGGAGTCGTAATTTTGATATCGCACATCTCCGAAACCATACGTCCAAAAAGAATCTAATTTTTTGCAACATCTGTTAGAATTCAGAAACTAGTCCAGTCGGCGGACTTGACACAAAATTAACACAAAATCTAAAAAAAAAAAATTCTAAAAAAAAAAACCACAAAAAAAATATATAAAAAAATTTTTTTATTTAAAAAAGAAAACTATAAAAAAAACAAAAAAGAAAAAAGAAACAAACGGAGTGTAAAATCTTATCGCAGCCTCCACATGGCATACTCGTGATTTCTTGGTCACCAGCTAATAGCGGGGGTATTTTCTTCGGTTTTGAGCTGTACTTTGGCTCATCGTCTCGAGAACCGTTTAAAGTTGAAAGAGAGCATTTTCAGGCGCCATATTAACTGAACGATGACGGATTTGTAGTCCCTGAGCTCAGATTCCGATTCAGCGATCCAAAAAACTCTAGAATTCCAAGTTTTATCCAGATCCATTAAAATTTATCGGAGTTATTCAATGTGCACATATATGCGTCATTATCAGTTTTGGCACGGTTATTCACTAATTTGTGCGGATTCTATGCGGTTTCTAGTGGGTCTTTCTTTCTGATTATTAATTTTGATTTGAAATTTGATTGCAGCAACAAGTGTTGTGCATGTCAGGTTTTGGAATCCCAATTTGATTTTTGCATATTTGTATCCGTGCTAAAGATGAATCAAAAAACTACAACTTGAAATAACTATTTTATTACTAAAAATATTTTGTTTGAGAGGTCTTCTGAGTTAAAAATGTCAAATGTCAATTTGTCAAAATTTGTTACATTTGTTCTGAATTATCCT